AATTAAAGCAAGCAAAAGCAGTCACATGCATTTAAAAATATAAATATAAAAGTATATAATATAAAAATATAAAAAAGTATAGTATAAAGTATAAAATATAAAAATATATAAGTTGCTCAGTTTTGCAACTTAATAAGGATAATCTCATGAGCCCGTGTTTCCTATTGTATGAATACCTCTATTACTGCAGAAATTTTGTGCAGATTAGAATATTAACATGCCTAACAGTATTTAGAAGTATATGTAATAGTAAATGCTATTATTTACTATTATAATAATAGTAAATGCTACTATTATTAATAAGAACATTTAAAAATAAAATTGCATCAGTGTGCATTTGCAGAATAATGTGCACGTAACTCTCCATCTTGAGGAAGTACACAAAAATAAGTGTAAGTCTCCTAGAACTTGTACAGGAATTCAGTAAAGTGTCAGGATATAAAATCAATGCACAGAAGTCAGTTGCATTTCTATACACCAACAACAAGACAGAAGAAAGAGAAATTAAGGAGTCAATCCCATTTATAAATGCACCCCAAACCATAAGATACCTAGGAATAAACCTAACCAAAGAGGCAAAGAATCTGTACTCAGAAAACTATAAAGTACTCATGAAAAGAAACTGAGGAAGACACAAAGAAATGGAAAAACGTTCCATGCTCATGGATTGGAAGAACAAATATTGTGGAAATGTCTATGCTACCTAAAGCAATCTACACATTTAATGCAATCCCTATCAAAATACCATCACTTTTTCTCAAAGAAATGGAACAAATAATCCTAAAATTTATATGGAAACAGAAAAGACCCCAAATAGCCAGAGGAATGTTGAAAAAGAAAGCCAAAGTTGGTGGCATCCCAATTCCAAACTTCAAGCTCTATTACAAAGCTATCATCATCAAGACAGCATGGTCCTGGCACAAAAACAGACACATAGATCAATGGAACAGAAAAGAGAGCCCAGAAATAGACCCTCAACTCTATGATCAACTAAACTTCGACAAAGCAGGAAAGAATGTCCAATGGAAAAAAGACAGCCTCTTCAACAAATGGTGTTGGGAAAATTGGACAGCCACATGCAGAAAAATCAAACTGGACCATTTCCTTACACTGCACATGAAAACAAGACTCAAAATGGATGAAGGACCTCAGTGTGAGAAAGGAATCCATCAAAATCCTTGAGAACACAGGCAGCAACCCCTTCAACCTCAGCCGCAGCAACTTCTTCCTAGGAATATCACCAAAGGCAAGGGAAGCAAGGGCAAAAATGAACTACTGGGACTTCATCAAGATCAAAAGCTTTTGCACAGCAAAGGAAACAGTCAACAAAACCAAAAGACAACTGACAGAATGGGAGAAGATATTTACAAATGACATATCAATAAAGGGCTAGTATCCAAAATCTATAAAGAACTTATCAAACTCAACACCCAAAGAACAAATAATCCAATTGAGAAATGGGCAGAGGACATGAACAGACATTTCTGCAAAGAAGACATCCAGATGGCCAGATGACACATGAAAAAGTACTCCAAATCACTCGGCATCGGGGAAATACAAATCAAAACCACAGTGAGATACCACCTCACACCAGTCAGAATGGCTAAAATTAACAAGTCAGGGAATGATAGATGCTGGAGAGGTTGCAGAGAAAGGGGAACCCTCCTATACTGTTGGTGGGAATGTAAGCTGGTGCAACCACTTTGGAAAACAGCATGGAGGTTCCTCAAAAAGTTGAAAATAGAGCTACCCTACGATCCAGCAATCACACTACTAGGTATTTACCCTAAAGATACAAAGGTAGCAGGGCACCTGGGTGGCTCAGTGGGTTAAAGCCTCTGCCTTCGGCTTAGGTCATGATCCCAGGGTCCTGGGATCAAGCCCCACATTAGGCTCTCTGCTCAGCAGGGAGCCTGATTCCTCCTCTCTCTCTGCCTGCCTCTCTGCTTACTTGTGATCTCTGTCTGTCAAATAAATAAATAAAATCTTAAAAAAAAAAAAGTTACAAATGTAGTGATCCGAAGGGGCACATGCACCCGAATGTTTATACTAGCAGTGTTCACAACAGCCAAACTATGGAAAGAACCTAGATGTCCATCAACAGATGAATGGCTAAAGAAGATGTGGTATATATATACAATGGAATACTATGCAGCCATCAAAAGAAATGAAATCTTGCCATTTGTGACGATGTGAATGGAACTAGAGGGTATTATGCTGAGCGAAGTAAGTCCATCAGAGAAAGACAATTATCATATGATCTCCCTAATATGAGAATGTTGAGAGACAACGTGGAGAGCTTGGGGGATAGGAAAGGAATAAATGAAACAAGATGGGATCGGAAGGGAGACAAACCATAAGAGACTCTTAATCTCACAAAACAATCTGAGGTTTGCTGGGGGGAGTGGGGTAGGGAGAGGGTGGTTGGGTTATGGACATTGGGGAAGGTATGTGCTATGGTGAGTGCTGTGAAGTGTATAAACCTGGCGATTCACAGACCTGTAGCCTTGGGGCTAACAATACATTATATGTTAATAAAAAATAAAAAAAAATTTAAAAAAGAAGTTAAAAAATATAAAAAAATAAAATATGAATGAGACAGGAAAAAACAGTAAGTGTAAGCATCGCAAGCCTATTATGTTATTGTCTCCACCTTTCTCTGTTTTAGCTGTTTTCTTCCTTTGAACTTGACCAGATAATGTCAAGGAACATTAATAACTCTGTGCTGCTCTCTAGTGGTAAATACAGAATATAGTTTGTAAGTGACTGCTTTTTGAGACCCTTACAGTGAAATTATAAGAAAAACCAAGAGAAAGTATTTAAGTGTAATTTTCAGTCTGTTACCACTGATAACAGATGAAGAGTCATTCAGCACCCTACTATCAATTTATTATTTTAACTACAAATATTTTTCATGGGAATAAAAAGCACAAACTGACGCTCATCATAACAGCAAATTTTTATCACTTGTTAGATACCATGATCTGTTATTGCATTATATGAAGTGTGGTTTAGGGACTATCTTGGCTATAGTGAACATACACACACACACACACACATCCCTCAACTAAAGTAGTCCTAAATATCTCAATTCTTACAAGACTAATTTCTTTTTTTGTTTGATTTTGTTTAAATTTAGCATTTAAGTATACTTTTATTTAGTTAATAATTTAAATTCAATAGCTGAAATTTATATTATAATATCCTAAATTTATTGTATAATACTTACAACATGGTAAGTGTATCTTATTATCTCAACAAACTTGAAACAATTGAAATCATTTCTATTATTTCGCAAATCAATGGTGAAGTTAATTTTTTTCCTAACAAGGAAAAAAAAATGCAGTTGACTAGATAAAATGCTTGCTAAACAAGCATCTGGGATGAGGGTGGGGTAAGCATAAGACTATATATTGAACCAAAACAAATAAGAGAAAAACAACAATATGAACAAACTTAAAAGGATCCTTTCTCATGCTATATACCTTGACATTAATACAGTATTTTATTAAACTCTTTATATCCTATTTCTCTCCAGAAAGGACTGGAAGCAATTTTCAACAGTAGACATATAGAATCATGTTAGTAAAACAGAAATGGCAAATGAAATTCAAGAGAAATGAAAATGCAAACATAGTTAACTAGTTTCTTTCTTTTTTTTTTTTTAAGATTTTATTTATTTATTTGACAGACTGAGATCACAAGTAGGCAGAGAGGGAGGCAGAGAGACGGACAGGAAAGCAGGCTCCTCGCTGAGCAGGGAGCCCGATGCAGCGCTCGATCCCAGGACCCTGGGATCATGACCTGAGCCGAAGGCAAAGGCTTAACCCACTGAGTCACTCAGGCGCCCCTATTAGTTTCTTAACTAAGTTGCTGATATTGTGCTTCAAATTTGGAGAATTCCTAGCAATCAGAGCAAAAAAGAAATCACGATTTACATTATATCTTACAGCAAAGAGGAGAGTAAGGCTTTTTAATCCCCCACCCTTGGGCTCCTGGGTGGCTCAGTTGGTTGAGCAACTGCCTTCGGCTCAGGTCATGATCCCGGACTTCCAGGATCGAGTCCCGCATTGGGCTCCCAGCTCCTTGGGGAGTCTGCTTCTCCCTCTGACCTTCTCCTCTCTCATGCTCTCTCTCACTCATTCTCCCTCAAATAAATAAATAAAATCTTAAAAAAAAAAAAAAAATTAATCCCCCACCCCACCCTGAAAAAAAGTATGTTCTGGTCTTAATTCTAAATCTAATTTATCATATGGGCAACTAACAAATGATATAATTAACAAACTCAACAAGAGTTATTGCAAATTCAGAACTGAGCAGATTTTCATATGCTGAGTTTGCTTGTTTGTTTTGCACTTAGGAGAGGCTAAATGAATGTAGCTCAAGTTTAAATGATCCGACTTAATCCAAACTCTCAGAGCAATGGAGAGAGAACATGTCTTCAAAAACAATTTCTCTCAACCAGACTTTGGATAAGAGTTAAACAGCCCATAATTTAAAATATGTAACCTCGGGGCACATCAGTGGCTCAGTCAGCTGAATATCTGACTCTTGGTTTCAGCCCAGCTCGTGATCTCAGGGTCCTGAAATGGGTTCTGTGCTCAGTGCAGCACCAGGTTGTCCCTCTCCCTCTGCGCCTCTCCCTGCTCTTTCTCAAATGAAATAAAATTAAATAAATAAATAAATAAATTCCCTTTAAAAATATATATATACACATATATATACACATATATATGTGTATATATATGTGTATATATATATCTCCTTTAGTTAAAAGAGCCTGAAATCTATTAGTTTCCTATTTATTTCCTATTCATTCATTAGGTTAAAGCTCTTTGAAGGTAAAGGCCTATTTTCCAGTTCTTGTAGGATCTTTCACTGAGAATTGGTCACAGTGGCATTCAGTTAATACTAAAAATTTACTGATGTAGTAGTAAAACAAACCTCACCACTGGTGGTCTGGGTTTTTTTGTGAAGTGTTACTTTACTTTCATTTTTACCTTATAACAGTCTCCTCCAGGAATGATTTCCTGAATATATACCAAGGGACCTTCATTCCGGTTAATTCCTCCTAGGATCTTCAGACCAAGGCCTGTTTCCTTGGTAACTGTAATCATCTGAAAGGCAGGATCCCTAAGATAAAGTAAATTAGCATTCACAGGTTAGCCTAAAGATCTGTGCCTACTTTCGCTTTAAACTACGTGCTAAATCACATTCTTAGAACTAGATAACCCGAAATACTAGTATATACTAGCAATGACATTTAGAAAAGTATGGTGATAGAAAAACAATCAAATGGGTTCTGTTACCTCTATTATTTATTTATTTTTCTATAAAAACAAACCATAGAAGAAATCACAGCAATAATGCTTATTTCTTTGGAGCAGAACAAAGAAAAATACCTTCAACATAGGATTTAAATAAACATAAAGATGTATTGAAGGTAACTGAAGAGATGTGTTTTTAGCTGACTTTTAGACTACACTAAGGGATTCCAAAATTAAAGATTTTAGTGAGTTAGGTTAAGTGACTTTTGAAAAGACATGTCTGTGGCCATTTACAGCAAAATAAATCTGACCTCCACTTGAATCTCAAAGCGAAAAGTTTATCTTTTTAATTTAGGAAGAGTGTTTTCTCATAGAAAGCATGTGCTCCACCCATAATTTCCATCAGACGTAAGAGCAATGCCATTAGAAAAGAAGGAACTGTCAAAAGAATTCTGCAAAAGGTATACCCCCAAGTTGTGCTTCTGAACACTCCAGTAAGAGAGGAGACTTGTGCCAGTCTGAGAGAGCTTGAACAGAGTTTGAAATGAGGCTTAGGGCTGCCTGCTTTCCTCTGATGTACTAGGTACTGTGCTAAGAATATACACACATTATGCCATCCAACTTAGTATTTATACAACTCCTAAGATTATTACCCTCATTATTCTAAAAACACCAAAATCAAGGAAGGTTAACTTGGTGGTCTAAGGTTATGAAGCTGGAGAACAGCACTGGAAACCCAGTTTGTCTTACTCCAGAGGCAAAATGTGGTGTTAAGATCTCCTTGGTGGCTGTATTAAAGCCATTGTTGAATTACAGGACTTTCAGCTATCTTCAAACATATCAAAAAACTGAAACTGCTATTAAAAAAGAGTTGCCTCATATCTTACATATGATTATAGCTTTCAGAAAAGACTTTCTTAGCTTCTGCCATAGAAATTCTAACTATATCTTTACGAAAGTGTGTATTTAAAAGTTAAATCATAAAAAAATAGAATGAAAGAAATTAAAATATATTTTTAAAAAACCCAAACCCTTACAAACCTCCCTGCTTTTGAATATTTCGCTGTCTCTGCAGGACAGCCTCCAAGGCTGCATTATACTGATACTGAATCAGGCTCTAATGTTGGATGGCCTATCTGGTTACTAGGGCAACAGTCAATTAGCTAGGAAAAGAGGCAGTTGGGATTGGGTCCACGATGTTTCGCTGTTACAGATTTCAGAAGCTCAGCCCACTCTTGATGGAGTATTAAATTGTACGGGCATAACGGAGTGAAACCTAGAAATAAGAGAGTGGAACGGGAAAGGGAATTAAAGGACCTTATTCAGTGCCTCCCATAACCTCTTAAACCGTCTAAATGCAGGTTTCCTTCAATGGGGACAGCATATAATCTCCACCATATATTATTGTTTCAGTAAAGGGTCCCTCCTTTTCTAATACCAACAGAGTATCTATATTTCATACAGCATTTACTTGCTAGGACCCCCTTAAGTTAAGAATTTATATTATTTACTTTTTTTGGCTATTAAAAATAGTTTTGCTGCTCAACGTTAATCACAGAGAACTGCAAGTTAAAACCAGGCAGAGATATTGCTACTCACCTATCAAATCAACATAAAACTTAAAACTGAAAATGTACTCAGATGGTAAGGATATAGGAAAGAGTACTCTTGTACACTGCTGATGGGAATGCAAAATGGCATAACTCCTAATGAGATAATTTGGTAATCTCTAAATTTACCTTCTGACCCAGAAATTCCATTTCTAGGAATTCATCCCAAAGATACTCTGGCATAAAATACAAAATAACTTGTCTACAGGGTTATTTATTTTGACATAATTTGTAATCTCCAAAACTTGCAAACAATGGATGTCCATCAATAAGGTATTGACGGAGGGCACCTGGGTGGCTCATTCGGTTAAGTGTCTGCCTTCGGCTCAGGTCATGATCTCACCATCCTGGGATCAAGCCCCCCCCATCGGGCTCCCTGCTCAGTGGGGAGCCCGTTTCTCCTTCTCCCTCTGCCACTCCCCCTGCTTGTACTCTTTCACTCTCTGTCAATAAATAAATAAAATCCTAAAAAAATATTAAAAAAAAATAAGGTACTGGCTGAATAAATTATGGTACATTCACAGGATAGAATCTACACAGTTATAACAAAGTACAATAAAGACATTTACAGACTGATAGGATCAACAGGATATAATTTAAGTTAAAAAAAAGGGCAAGATCAAAAAGTATAGCTACCTTTTTTAAAGAATATGCTGGCACAGGGCACCTGGGTGGCTCAGTGGGTTAAGCCTCTGCCTTTGGCTCAGGTCATGATCTCAGGGTCCTGGGATGGAGCCCTACATCGGGCTCTCTGCTCAGCGGGAAGACTGCTTCCCCCCTCTCCCCTCTCTGCCTGCCTGTGATCTCTCTCTCTCTGTCAAATGTATAAAAAAAAAAAAAAGAATATGCTGGCAACTGGAACCTAAGAGGCGGAGCCAAAATATCTGGGGCCATCTTGCCTCAGTCATAGGATTCTTTCCCATTGGCTTGATTTTGCCTTAGGTAGTTGGACAAAACTCTGTGCTATCCCAGAAAGTCACTGTTCAGCACCAGAGCATAGAGCTCCGTGCATGGAGTTCTTTGCATACCACATAGATGGGCCTGGCCTGTGCCCCTTGGAGACTAGAGTTTTCCAGTGCTCTCAGGAGGAGGTGTCAGAGAAAGACATCCTGAATTTAACTGGCTTGATACTCATCTCCAGGGAAGACCTGTGAGCCTGAGCTGAAGGACTGGTGTGCACTTCTTTAGTGTTATATACACGCATATAACAACACGCATATATATTTATATGTATTTGCTTATACAGAAGAAGCACTGAAAAGGAACTAAGAATAAAAATGGTTATCTATAGGAAGAATGAAGTCACAGAGTGAATGAAGGCCAAGAATGACTTCTCTGAATATACCTTGTTATATGTGTGTTACATGTTTGCATGTCTGCATGCCCTTTGGAATGTGACTTTACTGTTCCTTCCATTAAAATGTAAAGTCTACATCTCTACCCTTTGAATTTGGACTTGGCTATCTGAATTGCTTCAGTCACTGGTACACAAGCAAATGTGAGGGAAACAGACATTTGAAAAACACTTGGGTGTGTTGCTTGGAACCATTCTGCCATCATGTGAAAGAGCCTGACCTAGCCTCCTAGAGCATGAGATCAGGTTCAAAGAGACACCAGTCTAGCCTTTCCAGATGAGGCACCAACACATGTGAATGGGGCCATCTTACACTTTGGGTACATACCAGAAGAACTGCTCAGCCAAACTCCAAATCATGAGAAAGAATAAATGTTGTTGTTCTGATTTGTTACTCAGCAAAAATTAATCTCTCATTATTTTTATACCAGGATCATAAAATATTTTAGATATTTAAAAAAAAATCAGATCAAAATTTTAAAAAAGTAATTTCTACAAAGAATTATAAAAAAGAACGCAGAATTTATCCCATACACTGATTTACATTAGAAGGTAATTATTGATCAACTTCCTTATTAGGCCACCTTAAACCACAATTAACTATATAAAATTTTCAATCAAAAGCTCATTAACATTCCACATATTTCAAACTAGGACAGCTCAAAACAAAGCAAATTTAATTTAAAAATTACTTTTCAAGTAGATTGGATGATACCACAGCAGATGTATTTTTATTCATGATTTTACCACAGGAGCCTTGGATTTAACTGGGTAAATAAAGATATTGATGAAGAGTCTAGAAATTCTTCTTTTCCTGAGAATGCAGAAGTAGAAAATAAATGTTCACATCTTAAGAACAGTCAAATTCAATGTCAACTTTGCATAAAACATCACATACACGTATATACATGTGAGGTATATATTATATATTCTGAATTATGGCACTTCAGTCAATGCTGATAATATCTGAAAAATACAAAGATAGTTCGATAGACAGACAGATAGATATAGCTATAGGACCACATCCACATGATTATCTGTATCTATATAAAATCTGCCTTTTCTGGCAGAGGTGAAGAACATAGCTAAGCTTCAGGTAACTATTATAGCTTCCACCGTTAATACACTTAAAAATCGCATAATAATAAAAGACTGTGACAAATATCTCTTATAATCACAAGGCTAGAAAGTTTATAGTCAGAATGTGTGTAAAATAATTATACAATACATCCTTGAAGGAAAAAAAAAAGAAATTCCTATCATCTTACCAGCTATCTTGAGGGACTTCCTGCAGATCTTATATTACTTTGATGCATATTATACCATAAGCTTCTTAAATACTTTCCTATGAAAAGAAAAAATATATATATATGATTTTAATGTCGCATATAGCTCCACTGTGAACATTAAAGAGAATGGTATAGTTTCGCTGCACTAAAAAAGTTGTACTTGAATAGACCTTTACCATCTCTGCATAAAAAATATGAATAAAGTACAGAAACTTTACAGACATTAAGAACATTTAGCACAACCCTCTTATTAAAGAAATGAATAACTAGATTCAGAAATTGTGTGCTGTTCTCCACACAAATAAGAAACAGAGGAAATAGTCAGTGGTTGTTTTTCTAGCTAGCGGGGAGGCTTCAGAGCCTAGAGCATGTACCTTGACATCAGAGATACCTGAACTCCAATATGAGCTTCTAGGCTTCTCCAAGCTGTAGTTTCTTCATAGGTACAGTAACTACCTTGTCTGTAGTGACGGTTTTACAAATGCATAAACATGTTAAAACTTACCAGATTTTCTAATGATTAATATGTACTATTTGTTATAAATCAGTTATATCTTGGGACACCAGGGTGGCTCAGCTGGATGAGTGTCCAACTCTTGATTTCGGCTCAGGTCATGATCTCAGGGTTGTGATATCAAGCCCTGCATGGGGCTCCATGCTGAGCATGGAACCTGCTTAAGAGTCTTTCCTTCCACTCCTCCCCACCTCCCTTGCAGGCTCACACGCTCGCTCTAAAAAAAAAAAAAAAATAATAATAATAATAATAATAAAATACACAAAAATAAATCATATCTTAAGAAAGCTAAATTTTTTTTTTTTAGATGTGATTTTCATTTAAAGTTGGCAGAATGGGCGGGGGAGGGGGGTGCCTGGGTGGCTCAGTGGGCTAAAGCCTCTGCCTTCAGCTTGGGTCATGATCCCGGGTCGTGGGATCGAGCTCTGCCTCGGGCTCTCTGCTCAGCAGGGAGCCTGCTTCCTCATCACTCTCTGCCTGCCTCTCTGCCTACTTGTGATCTCTGTCTGTCAAATAAATAAAAAAATTAAATAAAATCTTTAAAGTTGCCAGAATGGAAAGGGGCTGGGGGGATGGACAAAATAGGTGAAGGGGAGTGGAGGTACAGGCTCCCAGTTATAGAATAAGTCATAAAGAGCCCACTTTATAAGTATAAACTCATAACATTCATGACTAAATAGGAGAAGAACCATCACGTAAAATGTGTGACAAATTTCTGGAAGACAAAAAAAGGATGGTGAGATGATAACTCATAAAGGAGGACCACAGAAGCTGAAAACTAGGGGCAAGTCCTCCTAAACACTTTTTTTTTTCTTTCTTTTCTTTAGAAAAAGAATGTGCATGAGAGCGGTTGGGGGGGGGCGTGGAGTGGTGAGGAGACAGAGAAGGAGAGAGATGATCTTAAGTAGTTTCCATGCCCAGCACGTACCCTCATGTGGGGCTCCATCTCACAACACTGAGATCATGACCTGAGCCAAAAATCAAAAGTCAGACACTTAACCAACTGAGCCACCCAGGTGCCCTGACTTCTTAAACATTTGTGAGCTGGAGCACAGAGAGAGAAAATGGGAATATGTGTAAGGTGTACTGGGGTGAAGGGAGGTGGCATGCCATACCTCTAAGTTACTGCAGGGAAATCAATAACTCACCACACCAGTAACTGATTCAAAGCAAAATTCTGCCTCAAAAATAGCTGGAGGGAGATGCAGGAAGGAACCTGTCTTGCAGAATTCCAGAGAGGCCGAGGGCTAAGAAACCCAGAGTTCTAGGGAGAGCAAAACTAAGGCATAGAACTACAATCAAGGCAATCATCCCAGCTCTTCTCTAACTATTAAATGAGGAAGATATCACAGATTCTGCTGTAAATCATTTGAATGGTCCTCTGGGAACCCAACATAGTGTTGTTGCACTGGCCTGAATGTTAAAATCCTGCTTCAACTTTCACAGTCTCTGTGGTAGCAAGCAACGGGAAAAGGGGAAGCATGCAGATGAAAAGCAGCAGAGAAATGAAGCCAAAGTGAGTAAGATCCCCATCTAGTGGTAATTTTTCCTAACTGGATATAGAGTCCTCAAGTGATGAAACCTAACCTGGGTCTAATAGATATATCGTGGCTAAACTGTACAACAGATTTCATATAAGGTCAAACTTAACAAGGCATTTTAAAATATTACAATGAAATTTAAGTGTTTAAATTACTTCATTCACTTACCATGCCTGACAGTGTCCTGAGTGCTGGAGGTGAGATTAAAAAGCAAAGTCTGTTCCCAGAGAATAGTCGAGTAAACAGACATCAGGAAGGTGCTAAGTGCTCTGACAGTGGTGTGCGCAGGAGGGCTAGGAAAGCACTGATGAAGGCCACTCACCCAGAATGGAATCATCATTAAGCATCAATGTGGCCAAGAACCGTGTTAGAAGATTTTACCCTCCCTCAAAGGAGCCCCACAAGGCAGGTATTATTACATATTTATATTTATATAAATGAAAGGTATTTTCATAAATAAAAACCTCGTCATGGAGAAGCTATGTGACTTGTCCATGACCATAAGGCTAAGCAATTTTATTTATTTTTCTTATTTTTAATTTTTTTGAAGATTTTATTTATTTATTTGACACAGAGAGAGAGACAGCACAAGTAGGCAGAGCAGCAGGTTGAGAGAGAGGGAGAAGCGGGCTCTCCACCTAGTAGGGAGCCCAAGGCAGCCCTCTATCCCAGGACCCTCGGATCATGACCTGAGCCGAAGGCAGCTGCTTAACTGACTTGAGCCACCCAGGCAACCCAACAATTTTAAAGTGCAATGTGAATCCACTTCTCTCAAGCTCCAAACCCAACCTTTTTCCATGAAAGCATGCTGAGAAACTGATTTTTGTGGGAAAACATTCTCTGAAAATATAGGATGAGAGAGTATTAACAGTACTAGTAGGCTGTCTAGAGATGAAGATGATACTGTTGATTAAACTAACAGATATTGGGCACAGTGGGTTAAAGCCTCTGCCTTCAGCTCAGGTTATGGTCCCAGGGTTCTGGGATTGAGCCCTGCATCCGGGCTCTCAGCTCAGCAGGCTTCCTTTCCTCTCTCTCTCTGCCTGCCTCTCTGCCTATTTGTGATCTCTGTCAAATAAATAAATAAAATCTAAAAACAAAAAACAAAACAAAACAAAAAACCCTAACAGAAATGGGGCTTAATTTTATCCAACCAAACAGCAGGCTTTTTTTTTTTTTTAAATAAGCCAGGTATTCACTGTCGTATCTTTAAACCTTAAATAAGTAAATGAATAAAATGCCATAAAATGCCTTTCCTTTCTCTCTCTTTTATTTATTCCCTATTCCTTCCTTTACAGAAGCTAGCAAGCCCCTCACCCAAAAGGGGCTCTATGTTACAAACACACAGACAGACAGACAGACACACACACACCAAACTTCACATTATTAATGAATGACACAGAAGGAAAACATTCTATTCTTTTACATAAAATATGCCCATTCAAGGAAAATATACTGTTTTTCTAGTTTAGTGACTCATAAGGGGGAAAATGTGAGGTCAGCAAAAACAGAGAAAGTGGAACACTGGAGGAAAAAATTCTTGTTTCATACAATAAATCTATTCCAGAAAACTTAGAGCTTTACTTTGATTAAAAGTTTTAATTCTATATCATTAGAAAGCTCATTAGATAAAAAAACCCGCCCATCATGCATATGTTTGAATAACACTTAATAATTTATATTCCCCAAGAGATGGCATTCAATACTATCTAAAACTGTTCTTTTTACCAGACCAAAAATAGAGAAAATAAAAAGGAAAGGGATAAAAACATCTGGCAGAAAAGATGGTAAACATTGACTTGATGAAATTACAATATTGAATGAATAGTCATAATATTGATAGTGAAACAGCATGTCTTTTTAGTCTTTTAAAAATAGCTAATACATTCCAATGAGGTATATGTAATGGATGTATATATCCATCTTAACTATCTCCACACCATTTCCACACACTTAAGTACTCACTGTTTGTGTTTCTTGTGAATACTTTAAGTACTTTATGCATAAACAAATATGAATACATATTGACTCCTTTGCTTTTGTTTCGACTAAGAAAGTAGGTTATAGCCAGCACAAAGCATCTAGCTGTTCATGCTGAGCACTGTACAACTCCTGAGGGTACGGGTCATATACATGATATAAACAGGTCCTCTGGTATAATCTGTTTTTTTTTTTAATTAATGTACAACCTGGAATTATTTCCATATTTTTGCATAGCATCCTAATTCTTTTTTTTTTTTTTTCTTAAGAGGGAGAATCTTAAGCAGGCTCCATGCCCAGTGTGAAGCCCGATGTAGGGCTTGATCTCACAACCCTGAGATCTTGACCTGATCTCAAATCAAGAGTTGGACACTTAACTGACCGAGCCCAGGCAACTCCCCCAATTCTTATTTTTCATAGCTGCATGCATTCCATTTTATGGATGGACCATATTTATTTATTCCCTTATTGATAGATACTTAAATTGTTTCACATTTTTTGCTATTATAAACATGCTGTAATGAAACCCTATATATAGATCATATTGAATGTGTACAAATTTATCTGTATGACAAATTCACAAAAACAGATTATCAGCATTTACACACACTTGATATTTTGATTGAAATTGCCAAACTGCCCCCAATCATCAAATGCCCTAATTTATCATCCCTCCAATAATAGTGCCTGATACTCCCAATTCTCACCCACATGGTTTATTACATAATTATTGGATTTTTTTTTTTTGACAATCTTATTGATAAAAGCGGGATCTTAAGATCCTAAGTCTGATGGGGCTGAACATTTGTTTTTATGTCTTAAGAACCATTTATATTTATACTTTCCTCATTTAATTTCTAGGTATTTTAATCTTTTTGTTGTTTATTTAATGCCTTTAAAACATCTATTATTTACTTTAAGGTATCTAACAAGCTGCGTAGTTAAGGAACTCTAATCCCATTTAGTTGTTTTGCTAAAGTGAAAATGAACCAGAAGTAAAGGGAAGAAACACAAGGTGTGG